GGGATCAAACTTGTGCTGCAGAGGCTGTGGACAGCTTCATAGGTTGCATCTTAACCTCTTGTGCCACTAGGGAGGCCCAAGATTTATTTATTCATACTTATAAGAACTGTGGTACAGGCCAGAGGTGTGGGGAGTGAGAGAATTCACCAGAGACAGAGTGGGGAGCAGAACAGGCAGACTGACTGAAATACACTGCTGAGGGGAGCAATGAGTGAGACAGGAGAGGTCTGCTGTGCCATGTGGATAGCTCCCTGGTTGGGATCTAACTTATGCTTCAGAGGCTGTGGATAGCTTCACAGTGCTGTGCTTAACCCCTTATACCACCAGGAGACCCAGGCATGAATTTTTGCAGCTTCACTTGTCACTTTCTCAGGCCTGAACAGAGAAGGGGGGTCAGGTAGGTGCAGGACACCACACCCTGCATCGAGCCAGTCACCAGTTCCAATCTCATGTTATGTTAAAACAGGGCAATGTTGGGGACAGTCACTGTTTCTGGGTCCTCATCCATGTGCTCACACTTGGAAGACAACACTCAGGCTCAGGGTGTAAAAGCAACAGGATTTATTAAAAAGGGGAGACTGCAAACAAGGAAGGAGTGTCTAAACCCAGAAATGGCCATCCGTCCTACCTCAGACAGTGTCCTCAGTGTCCAGTGGTCCGAAACAAAGGCTACTCACACAAGCTGTGCTACGACAGCCTGGAGCTGGTGACAACAGGTAAGCAGTGGACCAGTTGCCAACTCCCAGTGGCAGCTGGAGATGATCCCAGGTGGGCTGCTCAGGTGATGCTGCAGCAGCCAGCAACAGCTGTCCAAAGGCCAGGCAGACAGCACCAGACCCTGGACTGGACACTGCCAGATGCAACAGCACCAGGAGATGGTGCCCAAGGGTGACAAGTGGTGGGCAGCTCTCAGAGGAGGCCGGATACAGATCAGCAGTGCTGGTCAGCACTGGTCCAGCAGGCAATGGTGCCAGAGATGCCAGTTTACATCTGATAAAGATGCCATTGTACCAACAGCAAACAGCCTTAGAGAGACTGGACATAAGCCACCAGCAAACAGCTCCTTTAGAAACCCCAGGGACAGCCTGACGATGTTCTCTGCAGGCGAAGATGAACATTGGGGACTGAAGATGAAAGTTGGGGACTGGTGGAGGGAGCTGTCAGGGGTGAAGTCACCACCACATCCTAGCAATGCCCTGGAGGGGGGTCCTGCCCAGCTCCTTACACCTCAAGCCAACCATGAGGTATTTCTAAACCTCAGCCTCTTCTTCAGGTCCAATGCCTTTTCAGTCCTGCTTAGAAACTGCTTCTCCACTGAACCGCATTTACTGAGGTGTTGTTCTGACACTCTTTACTCTGTGTGTGATTTCAATTCATTTATTCTGGGGCTTGATGTTAATTGTCTTCCCATCATCTTGTGTTGTGTATCCTGTCATTCCTGTTACACACATACACATGCACACGCACACACACACATACACACACACACACACACACACACACTCCCCTCTCCTTGGGAACCAGATCCTCACTCAGCACTGGGGTTACTCTGACCCTCTGACTCTGGTTCCCCTCAGAGCCGCCCTCTCTGCAGTGTCTCTACTCAGCGGTGTCTGAGCAGCCCCAGGAGCCCCTGCACCTCCTGCCTCTGCCCTTGTAGGAAACCAGCCCCTCACCCTGCATGACAGTGAGGAGGCAAAGGCAAAGTCAGTGATTGATGGCGGAGACATTTTTTTTTTCATTTCTTTTTCCCCTCATTGTATTATTCAGTTGAGGTAACATTGCTTTACACACTGTATGTGTTCAGAGGCCCAGGGTCACCCCTCTTCAGATGTTTGTTACCACATCACGCCTACCATAAGGGCACCCACAGTCTTCACCATAGTCCACTTGGCCCTCTCCCTACCTTGTTTCCCGCTCTTACCCCCACCCCATACCTTCAATTCCACAGTCATATTTCTAGAGTTTGTTTTGGTTTAGTATCACCTGTGCCTGTTTTGTTTCTTTATATTCCACATATGAATGAAATCATCCAGTATTTAACTTTCTCCTTCAAACTTACTTCACTTAGCATAATCCCATCCATATCTATCCGTGTTGCAAAGTCAGTATTTTTCTTTTTCATGGCTGAGTAGTATTCCGTTGTGTATATAGTTTGTGTTCTTTATCCCCTCATGTGTCGTTGGGCACTTAGGTTGTCTCCATCGCTTGGTTATGGTAGACAGCGCTGCAGTGACCATAGGAGGTGCATATTCCTCGGAATTAGTGTTTTACCTTCTTTGGATAAATACCAAGGAATGGAATCCCTGACCATGGGACAGGTCTATTTTGAATATTTTGAGGAATCTTTATTTGTTTTCATAGGGGCAGGACCAATGTGCTATCCATAGAAAAGAGAGGCTCCAGATTACCACCCCGCCCAAGGAAAGGTGGGGCTGAGCAGGGATGAGAAGCTAAGGAAGAGGAGGAAGATGTGGAGTAAGATGAGGGAAGAAGACTGGAGGAGGCACATGGAGCAGAGAGACGTGTGAAGAAGAAGACAGGCTTGTTCCTCAGGCTTGGACTTGTGCCAGGGAATTGGGGACACAGAAAGAGACACGTGAAAGAAACAAAGACTTGGGCGAGAGGCCCATGGAGACGCTGACAATGGCAGCTGTTATCTTGATGTGGATTTTGATTTTGCTCTTTTCCTTCCAGACTTGCCTGGCCCCTCTTTCCCCTGTCCCATGGGTCTCTACCAGTAGGTGCCTTAGCCTTGTGGCAGGCGTTCAGGCCCCAGTGGGCCTGCTTTGGGCCAACCCTGTTTTGCTGGGCATTTACCCATGAGGGGACGGGTAGCTATGGGTGCTTCACTTGAGAACTATTCTAACTATATTCTTTCTCTTCTCTCTATTGCACACTAATTCTCTATTGCACACTAATTGTATTAAAGTTCTTTTCTATTGAAAGTCTTACGCTTTAGTGTATGTTTTGTCTTTATTCAGCTGATGGCAGATCCCATGTAGAGTGTACAGGTTTGAGGGTCCTGGGAAACCCTCATTCTGCTCACTAACAGGACCAGACTTCATTCCCACCCACCATGTACCAGAGAGAGTTCCTTTTCCTCCACACCCTTCAGTGGGTCATTCTCACAGGTGTAAGGTACCAACTCATTGTGGTTTTAATTGGCATTTTCCTGACAGCACATGACAAACATTTATCCATGTACCTAGTGGCCATCTGTATGTCTTCTTTACAAAAGTATCTATTTAGCTCCTCTGCCTTGTTTTTATTGAGTTGTTTTCTAGTTTTGCAGTTCTTTGTATATCTTGGATAGTAACTCCTTTTTGCATTGATGATGTGCACATATTTTCTCCAACTTGATATAGTCTTTTCATTTTAATGATTTTCCCTCACTATAAAGAAGCTTTTTAGTCTCATGTGATTCCATTGGTTTCTTTTTGCTTTTCCTTCCTTGGAGCACAGAAGACATTAGGGGCAATGAAAATACTCTGCATGATATTCTCATAATGGACACAGGTCATTATACATTTGTCCAACACCCACAGAATGGACAACACCAGAGTGACCCCTGAGAGAAACCATGACTGTGCGACTATGATGTGCGGGTCCCTCACTTGTAACCCACGTGCCATTCTGATGTTAACACGTGATTTTGACATGATTGGTGAAGTTTTATAAATTGAGGAATGAAGTGTAATTTATTTTTGAAAGCATATTTCATGCTGCAAGGACATTTAAATAACACTCAAGGATACGCATAAGTAAGCCATTCCCTTCCATCCCCCAACATCCCAGTCAGCCAGTATCTGCTCAAAACCAATTAGTAATTTATCTTTTCTTTTCTAAAAAAATATATCCATGCTTCTGTCTGGACAATAATGCTTGTTTTCCCGTCAGTAAAGGAGTTCAGGTCACAGAGTGGGGGGAAACATTTGCATATCACAAACTGATAAAGGACTGTATCAAGAATTTACAAATACTGCTTAAAACTCAACGATCAGCAAGAAATAACCCAATTTTAATAAGGACAAAAAACAGTGTTACAAATATAACAAAAAAAGAAAAAATTTATTTCTGGGCCTCCCCTGGTGGTGCTGGTGGTTGAGCTCAGCACTGTTAAGCTGTCCGCAGCCTCTGCAGTGCAGGTTCGATCCCGGCCGGCGGGCAAGAATCCCACATGGCGCGGCAGACCTCTCCTGTCTCACCCGCTGCTCCCCTCAGCAGTGTATTTCATCAGTCTGCCTGTTCTGTTCCCCACTTTGTCTCTGGTGAATCTTATCACCTCCTGTGCATGTGACCTGTACCCCAGTTCTTGTATGCATGAATAAATAAATCTTTTTATTTATTATATTTTATTTATTATTATTTGTAGACATAGCAACTTATGTAGACATAGAAAAATAAAAATATGAACAAATGCTCAATATCACAGTTAAAAACAACAGTGACACCATCACACTGCCATCCAGGGTGTGCACAACAGGAGCCTCATCAGGTTCGTTGTAAAAGATCCTTAGGGGCTGAGAGACACATCAGAGCCATAGGCACTGTCGCTGCCTGGTTGAGAACAAAACAGAACCTGGTCAGAGACGAGACCACAGGAGGGACTGATGAGGGTGGCTCCCCCATGGAGTCCATCTACACTGTCCCCAGGGGCTCAGAGATCAAACCCCTGATCCACACTTACCTGCGGCCTGAGTGTAGCTTCCTCCTTGTCCTCCTGTGGGAAGAAACATCATGTGAGACCAGGGAACAGTCAGGTCAGAAGACCTAAAGGAATCTTTTAATCCTGCACAACAGGGAAGTTTCCAGAACTGTGACTAAAGACCCACGTCAGGACTGGGAAAAATGAAGAAAGGTGAGGGGGGACTGGACCAAATGCCCTCTGGGCAACACACGTGTGTGTGTGGATGGTACTTCCCATTAACCAGGCAGGGCAAGTTCTCCCTGGGACATGAAAGCCCTCGGTGGACAAGATCCCCCACTCCCTTCCCTACCTGAGTGCTTCTTCCTCCACATCACAGCTGCAGCCACCGCAGCTCCAGTGAGCACAGCTCCAAGGAGAACCAGGCCAGCAATGATGCCCCCAGTGGGGCTAGAGGACTGAGGAGGAGGCACTGGAAGGGAAGGGAAGATCATAACCTGAGCCCCAGACCTTATCCTGACCCTCTGAAGGGCTCCAGAAGGGCTCCTGATGGCCCTGAGAACAGCCTCAGTGCCCACATCCTCCTCCTCACCCCATCTCAGGACTTGGGGCTCCAGCAGACTTTCATGCTGCACATGGCACGTGTATCTCTGCTCCTCTCCAGAAGGCACCACCACAGCCACCCACTTCTGGAAGGTTCCGTCTCCCCCAGGCCTGGTCTCCACCAGCTCCATCTCCTGGGTCAGGTCCTCCCCATCTCGCTGCCAGGTCAGGGTGATGTCCGCAGGGTAGAAGCCCAGGGCCCAGCACCTCAGGGTGACCTCATACTCAGAAATGGGGTGGCGGGTCATGCGTGTCTTTGGGGAATCTGAGGTGGTAAATCAATAAACTCACTTTGTGTTTCCTCCATGGACACTTAGGTATCCTCGTGAGACCATCCTCACAATGGACAAGACAACTGGTGTGGCAGGAGTGACAGGGGTGAAGGATGCCCTGAGCAAACTCCATACAGGTTTTGTGGACTCCACCCCCACGACACTGGGAACTACAAATTCCACGATCACCAAAGGGAAGGTTGGGAGGACCTGAGGGTGGAGTTAAGCAACTGGGCTCTCCGTTTGGGTATTTAACTGGTCATGTGGCCGGGAGTCTCTGGCTTGGCCACGAGGTGTGCTAGGTTTTCGCCACCTCTGTGGGTCACTGGGATTCCAGGTCAGCGGAACAGGTAGGATGCAGTTATGAACTTATCTCCCTCTTTTTCTCCCTGAGTTATTCATTTCCCATTTCCCCTTCCTGTGTAAATAAACCTTTTATCAACCTTTTGTGTGTGTCTGCAGTTTAGCATTCATAAGTCCCCTTTAAGCGCGCAGGTGAGGACCCACAGTCAGGAAACCCCATTTTATATTGGGGTTTGCCCTGTAACAGCTAGAAGCATAAAATGTAAAAAACAGGCTAATCTGGGGAATCTGTGAGATTCTCCTATTCCTTAGAAAGTTCTAGAATGAGGAGGAAAGCCCAGGGTAGGATGAAGCAGAGGGAGTGGAACACAGACTTTTTATTCCTGACCTGGGTGGAAGGTGAATGACACAGAAAAGCAGGAATCACATAACTGACAATGTTCTCAGACCAGAAACAAGACTGAGAGAGAAACTCGTGGTTCTCAAACAGGCCCCTGGTCAAAAGGACCCGGTGACGTGTGATGTCAGGGACTGTCTGTCTTTCTCAGGAGAGACGGGACCCTTCACTGTCCTTCAGGAGAAGCCGGAGTCTCTGGGAGTCTCTCTAGTGCAGAACATGAAACCCAGGGGAGTCCCCCTCTAGGGACTAGAGAGAGGACTCATTTCCCGCAGTGACTCCAGGCAGGGGGGGACCGGGAGGCCTCCAGGCCCCTCTTACCCGCGCGCTGCAGAGTCTCCTTCCCGTGCTCCAGGCATGTGCGCAGCCACCTCAAGTACCTGTCCTCCAAATTGTTCCTGAATCTCTCTGCCATATTCAGGGCCTCCCATTCGCGCCAGGTGATCTGAGCGGCTGTGTCCACCGCGGTCCAGGAGCGCAGGTCCTCATTCAGGGCCAGGTAATCGGCACCGTCATAGGCGAACTGACTGTACGCGCGGAGGAGGCTCCCGTCGGGCGCCAGGTCGCAGCCAGACATCCTCTGGAAGGTGTGAGAGCCTGTCCAGAATGAAACCGGGTGAAAGTCCCGCGGGCTGTTCCCGGGCAATTGCAGAGAAGCCTGGAGGGGGAGACCCTGAGCGACCCCCGTCCGTGGGGATGGGGGTGCTGACCCGGCCCGGACCCGCGCCAGCTCACCGGTCTCGCTCTGGTTGTAGAGGCCGCGCAGGGCGTGCAGCTGCGCTCCATACCACAGTATGCGGTCCCTTAGGATCCGCGTCCTCCAGTCCCACTCCTCCTGCTCCTCCTGCTCCACCTGCTCCGCCCAGGGCGCCCGCGGCTCCAAGCTCTGGCCCGGAGAGTCGCTGTCGAAGCGGTTGAACAGCGTGTCGTCCACGTAGGCCACCGAGATGAAGCGGGGCTCCCCGAGGCCGGGCCGGGACATGGCGGTGTAGAAAACCCTCAGGGAGTGGGGGCCTGGGGGCGGGAGGGGAGACCCGGCCTATTCTTCTCCCCTTCGGGGGCTCGAGTCCCAGGGGGCGCCCAAGAGACAGAAAGTGGGTGAAAGACGAGTGAGAGTGAAAAGCGGCTGCGGGACGAAAATGGCCGGACTCGGGGGGCCAGAGGAGGCTGGGGTCTCGGGGGACGGAAAGGGGCCAGGACGGGGCGGGGCCGAGGTGGGGGGACAACTAGGGCGGCGGCGAGGTCGCGCCTTTCCCACGCCCGCCCGCGCCCTCGCTCCCGCCTCTGGGAGCGCCCTGTCCCCTCCCGACCCGCACTCACCCGCCCGGGTCTCCCTCGGGGCCGCGGCCACCGCGAGCAGGAGCAGGAGGGCTGCGCCCCCCATCCCCCAGGACGCGCCTCCACCCGGGCTGGGGAGACGGAGTCCCGGCGGGCGGGCGAGGGCTTTGGAACGGGAGCCGCGGGGCTGCTGATTGGCTGCTCTGGAGACCTCCAGGCAATGGGGAGTGAGCCCTGGGGTGAGTCACCAGTATCCAGGAGGGAGGACCTGACGCAGGTTGTGAGAAGTGAAACTGGGGAGATGAGGAAGCCCTGACAGTCACCTTCCAGCCCCAGACAGGCCCTGGGGACTGAGACCTTGAGAGCCACACCCCGAGACCCTCCTCTCCTGCACCAAGACCTTTGTCACTGTTGCCTCCCTGAATCCAGGCCCAGGAACTGGGTCAGCGATTCTCAAACATTTTTCTTTCAGGATGTCTCTACAGTCTCACAAATTATTACCGATCCCATGCATAATTTTTTATGTGGGTTATAGCTTTAAATATTTACTTTACTAGAATAAAACCTTTCAAAAGGATGTTATTATGCTGGGAGCCATGCTACTTAGAACAAGGAAATGACAACCCTCAGGCTAAGTTCATCCTTGTAAATACAATGAAAAACCAGCCACATTCATTTGTTAATTGTCCTTGGCTATCTCCTTGCTGTAGTGCAGATTTTAGTAGTTGCAAAAGAAACTACAATATATGGTAAATAAAGTTTGAATTACTTATTCCTTGATGAGAGACAAATTTGTTAATCCTTGTTCTACAGTCATGATTTGTAAACATTCGAGTGCAGCTTTTCTGGCATAGGGAGGGTGAAGAAAGAGATCAGAACCTGTGTCCTTCCCTTATAAGCTCTCTGAATCTACATAAAATAAGGGAACTTTTTAGAGTTTGAAAATCAGTGAATTTATCTTTAATTGCCCAACCAATATTAGCTTGCTAATGCTGTTAATAACATTTATATCAGAAATAATAATAATTCAGGGTCAGTGATATAAGCAATGATTGGATAGTTAGTTAAGTTGAACAAACATTATTAAGCACTCTTTGTGGTGGAACTGTTAGGGGGAAGGGATGTCCTGAGCTAATCCCATACAGGCTTTGTGGACTCCAACCCCACTCCAGACCAAAGCCATCAAGACATTGGGAAAGACAAATCCCGTCACCACCAAAGGGAAGGTGGCTGGGACCTGAGGGAGGAGTTAAGCAGCCAGGTTGGGTGTAAAAACCAAACACGTGGGCCTTGGGGTCTCTCACTCTGTCGCTCCCCTCCTGACTTCAGGGCTCCTGGCTTGCGGCCAGCTCTCAGAGTGCCATTTGGGATTCCTGATCGGCGGATGGGTAGGAAGCATTTAAAACTTTGTCTCCCATTTTACTCCCTGAGCTGTACATTTCCTCATTTGCCCTTCCCTTGTAAATAAACCTTTTATTAACCTTTCGTGTGTGCCTGCAGTAGAGCATCGATTAAGTCCTTTTAAGTGCGCAGGTGAGGACCCACAGTCAGGCACCCTGTTTTGTATCGGAGCTGCCCTATAACACCCCTAGAGTGTGGGGGCAGCAGTGGGTGTGCCCTAGAGAGAGAGGGTGCAGCCATGGGCATACCTCCAGAGAGTGGGGGCAGCCGCAGGTGAATCCCCAGAGTGAGTGGGGGAAGCCACAAGTGTTCCCCCAGAGAGAATGGGGGCAGCCATGGGTGTAGCCCCAGAGAGGGTGGGGGATGCCACAGGCGTGCCCCCAGAGAGAATGGGTGCAGCTGTTACAGGGCAGCCCCGATACAAAACGTGGTACCTGACTGTGGGTCCTCACCCAGGCGCTTAAAAGGACTTATCAGTACTCTACTGCAGGCACACACAAAAGGTTAATAAAAGGTTTATTTACAAGGAAAGGCAAATGAGGAAATGTACAGCTCAGGGAGAAAAGTGGGAGACAAAGTTTTAAATGTGTCCTACCCAATCCGCTGATCTGGAATCCCAAATGGCACTCTGAGAGCTGGCCGCAAGCCAGGAGCCGTGAAGCCAGGAGGCGAGCTAGAGCGTGAGAGACCCCAAGCAACCTTCCCTTTGGTGGTGGTGGGATTTGTCTTTCCCAATGTCTTGATGGCTTTGGTCTAGAGTGGGGGGTGGAGTCCACAAAAGCCTGTATGGAATTATCTCAGGACATCCTTTCCCACTGACACAGCCACGGACATACCCCCAGGGAGAGTGGGGCAGCCACAGGCTAATGCCCTACTTTTTCGGGGCATGCCCACATTGAGGAGTAACTCCCCTGGGTTTTTTTTTTTTTTTTTTTTTTTTTTTAAGATTTATTTATTTATTGATTGATTGATTTATACATACATTCATACAAGCACTGGGTACAGTCAGAAGCTCGGGAGGGTGAGAGAATTCACCAGAGCCAGAGCGGGGAGCAGAGCAGGCAGAAGGACCGAAGTACACCGCTGAGGGGAGCAGCGGGTGGCAGGAGAGGTCTGCGCACCATGTGGGACCCTCCTCCGGTGGCCGGGGAGCAGCCGGGGATCGAACCGGCGCTGCAGAGGCTGCGGGCAGCTTCACAACCCAGCGCTCAACCCCTGCGCCACCGGGGAGGCCCTCCCCTGGGTTTAAACTTCCCTAAGGCCCTACTTGCTATCTGCACCTGTCATTCTCTTTTTCTGGATGGAAAGGAAGGCTGTCTCAGAATCTGGAATCTTTTCATTTTTAAGAAGATTTATTTATTTATGCATACAAGATCTGGGGTACAGGCCAGAGGTGTGGGGGGTGAGAGGATTCACCAGAGACAGAGTGGGAAACAGAACAGGCAGATTGACTGAAATACACTGCTGAGGGGAGCAGCAGACTAGTCAAGGTCTGCTGCCCCATGTGGGTATCTCCCTGGCTGGCACTCGAACTTGTGCTGCAATGGTTGTGGAGAGCTTTATAAGTTGCATCTTAACCCCTTGAGCCAGCAGGGAGGCCCCAGAATCTGGGATCCTTAAGTGGCATGTTTCCAGATGGGCGGAGGATTTGAAAATTCAAAGGCTTGGGTATT